CTAGATCTTACTGAGACATTAGTCCTCTAATCCTGGAAATGTTCTTCAGGTGATGGAAGGCTGACTTTGTAACAGTCTTTATGTGGCTCTGAAGGTTCGGGTCAGAGTCCATCACTACTCATTCAAATAATTGTAAAAGCTATTCAAATATGTTACACATATTCTCATCTAAAGATGAAGTATGAATCGGCTTTGCGCGTGTTTGAGGATTTACCAGAATGTGATTCAAAGGACTCCAGAGATACCAAAGATTTTTTCTTTTCTTTTCATCATGCAGGGAATACACAAAGAAAAGTACCTGATATCTGGATTACCTTCCCGCTCACAGCTACTGTTTTCTTCCTGGAAAGAAATGTAAAAGTTCCTCATTTTCAAGGATGATTCATTCTCCATCGTCATGACCTAGTTTCAGTCTGCAAATATTTGTGCTCTTTAGCATTAATCTCAGTTGATTTCTAAAGATTATTCTCTAAATTGTGTCCTATTTAAATAAAGCTTATATCTGAGAATCTGAGTGAGATGGATGAGTTTAAGAATAATCTCCTGCTGAGTCAATTGCCTGTTTTTTGTTGTTTTTTTTTATCAGATCCCACATCCCTGTCACTGAAAAGTAATTTCACCGAAACAGGAAGGTAATCTGATTGAGAAAACAAAGAACGTACAGGAAGAGGCGTGTTTGTCATAGTCGTAAAAAAACAACAGACTTTAGGTGTCCCTAACGAAAACTGACTGAATCTATTAGACACACGTTGCCATACATGTTTGTCTCGTCACTAATGTGCAAAGTATGTTTTGATTGCTTTAATGTGATTGCGCTAATAAAAAATGACACAGTTAATTACACCATAAATTCATGTTTAATTACAGAAGCATTCCTCTGATTTCAAGTTATTTAAACAATGAATTGTCCAAAAAACTTGACCAAATTATGCATTTAAATTCAAATCTTTTAAAATATATTCCTGAGGAACACAGCATTTAAAATCTGGAAAGCATTTAAACAAACATCTTATTAAAGTTGTTTTTGTTAAGTTTTCATTTCAAAACAAGGGGAACAAGCATTCGCTCCAGCTCAGTCCTGACACCAAATCACTGATCAGAGGTCCAAGAACTGCACTGATTGCACACATGTAGCATTTATGCTAATGATATCAAAATAAATACACATTACAGAGGAAAAGAGAAAAGCAGAATAATAAAAGCACATATGATTTCCTTCCACCATCATTTTTACCAATACATGCAATCACAAAGAGTAATAATAAAGCAAAAAACAAGAGTGCATATTGTGGAAAAGTGGATTGTGTAAATATAGGTTAGTTATTGGCCAGTAATAGCTGCCGCTGTGACTTTAACAACCAACAAATGTCATGTTTATGTATTTAAATATTTATTTTACCAATAACAATCAATTCTTGATGCTTATTTTAAACACTCTCAAAGTGTACAAATGCTTCAAAATTGTTTTTTTGTAGTTTTTTTGTTTTCGCTAAAAATATCTGTAAACTACAAAACAGTGTAAGTGAAGACGGAGTACAACACTAATATACAGTGAAATGATGTGAAGTGTGCTCCAGGTCCCGGTCCGGTTCAAATGCTTAGTCATTCTGAATGGCCTTTTTGGTGATAAATAAAATATAATGCTATAAAATAATAATAATAATAGAAAAATTACCTAACTAATTTCTTGGGCCCTTTTGAATAAATAGATGAACAGGTTAATGCTAATTAATTAAACAAATCTCACTTATTTGGGTTTGAACAAGATGGCAGCTAAACTGTTTGTGCTTCATGCTCGACTCAAAGTTAGAACAAAATCACTACACAGCAAAATATCACGCCTCCTAATCCTCCACATGTAGGTGAGAGATTAAACATGACATCTGATGGGACAGTGAGGAACCTGAGGATGCTAGCATGTTGCTACCAACTTAGTTACAGGAAAGGCTGAGATGTTGAGCGTTGTAACAATGCTGCAGTCGGAGGAGTTTAAGCTTTTCTTAATTGACTGCTACTAAATCTGACAGCTGAAACTTTAAAAACATTCACATCTGAAAATGATCTGCTCCATTTTCCTGATCTAGACGGTCGTTCCAAATTATTTGTCTAAGTCAGTTTATGATTATTTTTGCTGGGAGGTGTTTCTGGCCAATCTCCTGGGATCTGTTCAAACTTGACATTCACTTTAGCAAATACAAACTGAAAATTTTCAACTAAATAAAATTATGTGCAGAAATTATTCAGGCTGTAAACGTTACTTTGCCAGTTATGTGTGTTTCCCTTAAAGCTGCAGTATGTAGCTTACAAAAAGATGTTTTTTCCATATTTATTAAAACTGTCACCAAGTTAAGACAGCGCAATCGTACAACTGCAGTAAAAGCAACTGATCAGAGCCAGGAGGAAGGTCTTAGCGCTGTCAATCATCCTCATATACTTGCTGCTAAATGTACTAATGGCAGAGAAACAACTTACGGTTTCAGAAAAACCACATATCCGCCATAATTGGTGGCTATGCTAGCTAGCATTAGCACTCGTGGCAGGCTGTGTTGTGGTGGACCAGGGGGTGAACATGAGTGATTGACAGCGCTAAAACCCTCCTCCTGGCTCTGATTGGTTGTTTCTGACGGAGCGGTGTATTTCTACAGCTGGTACTGGGAACACTGGGAGAAAGTAGGGGAACTAGATTGTCTCAAATTTTACAGTCAAAACATAATGATAATTTCACAAAATATGTAAAAACTATATATTTTTTAATAAACGGTACATACTGCAGCTTTTTAAGAGTCAATTTTTGTTCAACTATTGTAATGATGCTGAATAATATGACCCGTTAAAAAATAAAGCTGTATATTAGAGCTCATTAGAGCAGCTGAAACACGTAGTTTAGAGCTAAATAATATATATAAAAAAAAACAATCTTTGAACTATTATAGTCCTTCTGTTGTGCAAATTCAAAGCTGAAATTTAAATTAAAATAAATAAAAAACCAGAAGAACAGCAAAAACTAGCCTTTTCAACTGCCTTTGGAAATAAAAACATTGATTTTGATGTGAGAACAATCCTAAAGCTCTCATTTCCTGTCATTTTAACCGTAAATATATCCTTAATCTTTGATCGATCCAAGAATATATAGTAATTTAATACATTTATAATCAGTAGAGATTTAAAATCCTCAGTTACTGTCTAATAAATCACAACATTCAGTTACACTGTAGAGTTAATTAAAGGTCACTAGGGGTTGTAGAAACATGCTTGAAAGTTTTTTGTATTTTATTCATCATAATTAATGCTTTAATCATAATTAAAGCATTAATTTTGGTTAATTATGCTTTAATCATAATTAAAGTATTAATTGTCATTAATGCTTTAATTAATCATAAAAGCCTTAAACTATAAGTGTGAAACACTAATGCTTTGCATGTTTTAGTGAAGTGTATTTAAATGTGTGTTTTTAACTGTTTGAAAGTCTTTTTGACTGCATGCTAATGCTAATGTTAGCTACAAACAGATCCACAAGAGTAGTAGTAGTTGTTTTTTTAATTCATTAGGTGGGCTAATTAGCTAAAAAAATGTTATATGTCTTGACAAATAAGTGCTGTAAAATGGAGAAACACATATTCAGATATGATTCCACCAACCCATAAAAACTGGCAGCTAATTTTATGGGTCGGTAGATCAAACATATATAATTCACAATGTCTGTCGACAACAATCGGCTTAAATGTGACTAGTATTTCAAGGGGGAGTCTGAAGAGGAGGTTTTACTGTAAACACATGAACTCAGAGTGTTATTTTTGATTGTCATCAGGCCCAACTTCACACGTAGACAAAGTGGCATGCTCTAAATGCGCTGGGTCCTGTCGGGCCTGAATCATCCCTGAATGCTTCGACTGCTTGCGCATCGCCTGCAACAGCCGGTCGAGTCAGTCTGGTCAGTCAGTGAGTCTCTGTCTTACAGTACAGGCAGGATATCAGTTGAAGTACAGTTCTTTGGTCAGCATGGAGACCACACAGGGAATCTGTTTCTTCTCACTGAAACGCGGGTCCTCCGACCAGGACTCGAAACTGGTGGCCACCATGTAGTTGACCCGCGTTAGGATCTGCATTATCTCCAGCTGCTTGCCGAACTCGCTGAGGACGTTACAGAGCGCCTGGACGAACCAGGATCCGCGGCCCGGGTTCCTCCATGAGTAATATCCTAGAAAACAGGAAATACGCCAAAGAGTTTCACTTCACATGAGCCTAAACCTGGACAATATGGCTGAAAAGGTGGGCAGAGTACCCAAAAGCTGTATTTTATCATATTTATTAAGCGAAAGTAAAAAGTAGGCACTCAAGAAATTACAGAAGAGTAAAACTGCACTTGGTAAAAAGTCTACTCAAGAACTGAGTAACTGATCAAATTATCCATTATTTCAAATTTAAAAATTACATCAATTGAACCAAAAGAAAAATTAATTGGAAATTTTGCTAATTTAAGGATAAAAGTGACAATAATTCACATAAATAACAAAATCAGGCAAAATATGATTTTTCAAAATCAGTTTCTTTCAATAAAAAAACTTTTAACAAAAACTGCAGGAGTGTGTCTGTGTCTGGTGAATTTTTGGTTAAAACATGTTTGTTTTTCATTCAGTGGGTAGAAAACCATACATTTTACTCAATTAAAAGTAGAAATACTTAATAATTAAACTACTCAAGTAAAAAGTGTAAGTACTCCTAAAGGTAAATTATTTAAAAAAAAGTAACTCAAGTAAATGTAACTGGATATAAGCATTTTCTTCAGTCAATATCAATAATTTTTAATAGCTTTTTGTTTAAATATCTGAAATCCTGCCAAACTATTTCTTGTTTTAACCACAGTTTTCACTTATTTTTAAGCAGTTATGAGCCAAAGTGGCGAAACCCTTAAACTGCTACTTTGTCAGTTACTCAGCAAGTTGTTGCTAGATAACCAAAGAATGAGTGAGTTGCTAGGTAACCAAAGAATGAGTGAGTTGCTAGGTAACCAAAGAATGAGTGAGTTGCTAGGTAACCAAAGAGTGAGAGAGTTATTTGATTCCACCAGTGTTTCCCATTGTTTCTCATATCTTATGCGATATTGTATTTTTATTGATTTATTATCCAGTCCTACATAAGCCTTTCGCAATAAGCAATTTATCAATTAATCGCATGATAAATGATAAAATATTGAAACAATTGTACACAGACTCAAAAAAGGCCGTTTGCTGAAAAAAAACAACATACTCAGAACAATAATTAGTACAAATAAATAAATATATATATATGTATATATATATATATATATACATATATATATATTTACATTTTGCATTTCTGATAAAAACACCTTTGACTGTAACTATGTTTTACCCAAAACTCCTCAAGTGGCAGTTTTAGCTCCACCTGGTTTAAATTCACTAAAGGAATGCTGTATTATTGGACTTTTCTTATTTAAACAATAATTTGAATTGTTTTTTTTGTTTTTTTGTATTTTTGATGTATTTCTAATATGGTTTTAAAAAAATGCTTACATAGTTTATCCGATTAATCAATTAATCATCAGGATATTTGACAGAATATTTGACTACAAAAACAATTGTTAGTTGGAGCGGGATGTTATTTTTTGAAGGACAATTTTGTTTACAAAGACTTCAGAATCCATTTTTTTCATGGTTTATATTTAAGTCATTTTTTTCCTGTTGTATTGATTGTTTTTGGTTGTGTATTATTTTTAAAAACTCTCCAGTTCCAGTGTAACANTTTCTTTACATCTTTAAGATTATGTCATTATCAATATATTACTTGAAAATGGTCTCAAGACAACAATATTATTGTTTATCGCAATAAGTATTGTGATAACGTTTTGTCCAGCAAATGTTGTTATTGTGCCAGGCCTAAATTTACATTATATTGACTTGATTGGACACTTAAAAGCATGGCTTACCTGGCACAGTGGAGTATGCAAACAGAAAATCTGCCTCAACAGGGATTTTATGTCTTGGATTTGCATCGGTCTCCAGGGTGTCGTTTGGTGGACCTGAATCTGTCTGGATACCTTCATCAAATTCAGAACCTCGACAAGCCTGTAAAAGTACAGAAATACATACATTTCAAGGACAATTCAAGGATTTTCACGGATTTTTTAGGTAAACTAGCAAACCTTAACCTTTGGAAATAAAAACAAAACAAATTAACCAGAGATCACACTATTATATGATTCTATTCTATATTATTGATGTTATTAACTTCATTGATCTTAGAACAAAACACAAATTTAACCCCCGAAAAAAATATATTTCAGTCACTTTAACATATAAAATATAGTAGAGTTTCTGCAGGTTTCACCAACTCAAATTTAAGACTTTTTAAGGCCATTAGTAATGGATTTTAAGACCTTTATCACTACAGAAATGTACAAAAATAAATAAATTGTGTGGATTGGCAACAGAAGTGAGCCAATGGTTAAGACAAACATCGTCTAGCAAACTGGCGATACATTTTCAATTACCCATGACAGATGTAAAAAAATAAAAATAAAAAAAAGGTAGCTACCCACTAGCAAGAGTATATTAGCAGCTATTTAGCTGCCTGTGAGAAACTACACAGAATATATTAGATTAAATAGTCCATCCACAACAAAATTTAAGGCCTATTTAAGACCAACTTATAGATTTAAGACATTTTAAGGCCTTAATTTTAGATACATGAATTTAAGATGTTTTAAGACTTTTTAAGGATGCATGGGCACCCTTTATTTCAATAACTGATTGATTAGGAATAAGTATTCCTTACATTAAACAAATCAGTTTGTATTAATGTAAAGTCAATGCTTCATTACATGATTTTGAGGAAGGAGTTTTTTCTCCTAAAAGTTTATTACAACTTTCTTACTAAATTGCAGTTTGAATATCAAGCATTTTCCAAACACCTTTTAGAAATTTAAGCATTTTCAAGGATTTAGAGCAATTGCATGAACTCTAAGTGTCATACCTGGATGAAGAAAAGTTTTGGCTTCCCGACTAAGCTTTTGCACTTGTCCCCCCTGAACAGCGAGGTGATGGTCTTGATGGGCATGGCTGCATCTGTGCCGTAGATCATGCCTTCCTCACCGTGACTCAGCAAAATGCAAGCGAAACACGAGCTGTCGCTGTGGTCTTCCTCTGAGGCTGACCAACAAAATACACCAAAAAAAAAAGAAATGTTAGCTCATCTAATTCCAGAAAACAGCAAATTTCACAGGCCTCTCTAGTAATCACCACTAAATATATCTAAAAATCTAAACTTCACATCACTCAGCCATCTATAACCAAAGTTCATACATTAAGTTTACAAACATTTAACGTATAAATTACAATGTAGCAAAATGTTATGTTTTGAAATGTCTCTTTAACACCTTTACGCCTGACTGGTGCCAGAAAGTTGCAAAAAAAATTCTAAAGCATTTTCTCGCTAACCTTTGTGGTATTTAGCAAATAGCAGTAATTGTGTAATTGTAACCGGGATGAAACAAGAGAAATTTTGTCTGATTTAACGTCAGACAGTGAAAAAAAAATATCACAGGGGTTTGTACACTTTTCAAAAAGTAAAATTCAAGCACTTTTCAAGGATTTTCAAGTTAAGTTTGCCAACTTTTTTTATCACCTCACTTTGGAGATAAAATAAAAACAAGTTAAAGAAGGCAGTTTCAATTAAATATTTTATGACATCATTCCTAATAATATTTTGTGATTGTATTCAACATTCTACATTAGGGACAAGTTAAACTAAAACATAAAAGTTTATGTTTTGAAATGTCTCTCTTACGCCAAGAAAGAAATTTTACAAGATAAAATCTCAAAAAAGATTTCTAACCAAGTTAGCTGGAATTTATCAAATGTAAATAATTTAGGAAATTCCAACTGATTTAAAAGAGGAGAAGTTTGGTCAGATTTAACTTCATACAGTGTGAAAAAAAATTATTTTTATTATCTTTAAATATCTAGTTCCACCTGTAAATAACTTTCTCTAAATTTAGGCTTTTAATCAAACGTTAGATTTCACTTTATTACAAAACTGCACAGTTTGAACATCATGCACTTTCCAAGAATTTATGCAGAAATCAAGCATTTCCAAACCTTGAAAACGCCTAACTGAAATTCAAGCATTTTCAAGGATTTCAAGCACTCGTGCAAACCCTGTATAACACAACTGTTATTGACGCTTTTTATAGTAACACCTGACTTCAAGAGAATTAAACGTATACATTTTTACATCCAATACAGACAAAAAAGGTCGTAATAGAAATAAAACGAATAAAGTATAAACATATGGCATTAAAAGGAGATGGAGAGGAACTGCTGACCTTGTTTGAGAAGATTCTCCATCTTCTCGCATGTCTGGTCGTTATGAATGACGACTTCAAAGCCCAGGCTCCTGAAGCACTTAAACAGCTCACCTGCGTCCCGGTCCGTCCCATTGCGAACATTCATCCCTGTTCGTAACAAAATATTAAAATAACGCAACCAAACCAAACTAGAAAATAAAAAAACAAGAAAACTAGAGTGTAAGGTATTCTGAAAACCGTGTGTGCCATACCCGTGTTTTCATCAAAGTTTTTGTTGTTGATGATGATGCACTTCCCCACTCGCCGGTAGCTCATCTTATACTGGAATGTTGCGAAACGAATTCTGGAATGGCTTTCAGAAGAGTAGTCCTGCTCCCGCGTCTGGCCATCCTTATTTTTTTTGCTAGCAGAAAGAAAAATTACATTTAGAGGATTAATTTAACTGACAATGAAGGCTACAACAAAGGCAAACAATGTAGAAAGTTTAAATTTAAATTTCTGCAGCTTCAGTTCTTACCATATTATGTAATATCTTGCAAATATAGAAAATATCCCTGGATCACTGAACATTTTTTAGGTCAAAAATGTTCTCAACCAACACCTAAGATGTCCAAAGCAGCTAGCATGCATGACACAGTAGACAACCTGAACCACTGACTAGAAAAAACCCAACACATACATACATACGTTTTCAAATAAGGTATAAACGTCAAGGCCAAATTTGGTCACAGTATTCCACAGTCGGGCTGAAGAAGAAACTAGAACATTTTTGCAAAGATCATCTATGCAGAGTGAGTAGGAGGAAATGATCCAGCAGAGGTAATTCTGACAGTCCAATGATATTTTCATTCTTTCAAAGATCCATCCAGACAGCCGGGCCAACAGTGGCCCCATTGGGAAGCCAAACCATCTAGAAGAGCCGAGTCATCGGGTCGCTCAAGCACTAGAACAATACTGTACACCGCAATACCTCTTGTGCACTCGCAGGCAGCGCAGCCATTTTCAAATAAGCATGTGATCTAGAACATTTGAAGCCCCCCGCCCAGCTCCAAAGTGCCAACATGCGGTGCCAAACAATAGCATGAGGGTGGGCAAAGAGCTGGATCGCTGTTCCACTGCGGAGAGAAACCCGTCTTACCTGGGTTCGTCATTAAGCACCACTCCGCTCTGCATCTGAAACGCCTTGATTCTGTCTCGTTTCTCCACACCCGGAAGCACAAGGTTTTTTTTTTTTTTTTGGTGTGTGCTAGGAAGCTAACATGCTCTCTGTAGAGTTTGGAGTCCAGACTGGGTCCGCGAGTGGCTGAGGACTGGGGCAGCGCGCTGTGAGCCCCCTGAGTCAGCAGCCTCCCCATCGCACCAGCGTTTTCTAAAGGCCTATTCATGCTCCGGCCCTGAGCCTCACCCCCTGCTGAGGTCAGACAGGTTATCAATGTCCTCAGCTGCAGACGGACAAAAGATCCACCCATACAGTACCGGGTGTACAGTTTGACTTTTCAATAAATCTAAGAGGAGTAGCCATGAGAAAACTGAAGATTACACAGCTGAGAGGAAATATCAACAAGGGGATTAAACCTGTCATAACAATAATGCCCATAAAGAGTCATTTACGCAACATATGACACGCTAAATCACATGTGTCAAACTAGAGGCCCGTGGGCCAAATCCGGCCCGCCATAGCTTTTTATGTGGCCCTCTAAATTCTAGACTAAACACATAAATATTATGTTTTCAATCAAACCAATGCAGTTTTTAACCTTTTACTGCCAAATTATATCAACCAATGCCTCCAGTTTCTTGATAATAATTGTGGAAACTCACACAAAATCAAGAAATCCCCTCACTTTTTTGTGCTAATACATAATTGGGAGTTTATTGCAGATTGTTCTCAAAAATTGTCAAAAACTTTCTTACTTGTAGTAAATAGCTGCCTCAGCCTTAATTTATGTCAGATTATAATCCAGGATCTATACAGCAGAGATTCCCAAACTGTGGGGCGCGCCCCCTAGGGGGGGGCGCCGTGTCATTGCAGGGGGGGCGCGGGAAGCCGTCTGGATGAAAAAAAAACAAAACATGAACACTGTATGCGCTGGGTTTTTACCTTAGAATGGCCAACTCTCTGTTATTCCTATGTCAATTTGATACAGTAGAGGCTTCCACACTTCCCATATTTGTGTCCTCTGTCACTTTTATCAGCAGTTAAAACTGTTTAATCCGTTGTCAACATGTTGGAACCTGTTTTTCCGAGCCGCCTTTAAACGCAACATGAGCGCTACAACGCTCGCGCTGGGTTTCCACCTGTGAAGGAGACCTGCTGCTGCTGGGCGGAGCTACGTAGGTTTGTGTTAGAATCACGGCAGCAAACCAGCAAAACCCAAAGAACTTTTTACAGTTTTTCCCTCCAAACTAACCGACTGAGTTGAGTGAAGCTGTTGGATGCAGGTAATGTTAGCTAAAAGATGACTAGCTAATATCAATACAGAACCTTAAGCTTAACAAGTAGCTTGTAGGCTACCGATGTTGGTGTCTATTTTCAGCTATGTACATTCATTTTGCCCCCAAAAAAGTCGCACCCCCCCCTCACACGCGTCGTTTCAACCAAACAGCCATTTGTAATCCATAGGGGGGGCGCAGAAAAT